GTTCCATTTGCTTCCTCTGCTACAATCTGATTTTGTGCCCTTCAGTTCCCATCAGTTCCCATTCCTGATAAAAATGGATCAGGAATTCCAGGAATAGTAATCCAAAGTATCTGGAGGGCAACAGATAGGCCATCTGGTGATCTCCAGATTTTCTGCCCTAGAGTTCCCATATGCCCCAAGCAACATGGCCAATGGTCAGGGATAATGGGAGTTGTAGTCTAAAATATCTGGAGGGTGCTAGTTCACATATCCTTGGCCTAGGGCTGAGGTTGAAGATACAAGTCATAAAGCTAGTAGCCAATAACCCACTAATTGCTCCCTCCCCATAGTAAGTGACATGGGAGGAACCCTCCACCCTCCACCTCTCCTCCACTGCAGCTCACTGTGACCTCAGCAACTGGTGACAGCGACTGCTACTGGGAGAGTGAGGCAGGTGAGCATGCTCCACAGCTGTAGCCCATCTCAGAGGCAGCCCTTCTTCTCCTCCGAGCCTTCTATCCATGGCGGTGGCCCTGGGCAGCAGCCAAAGGGTGGCACCAAATGGCAGTGCCCCTTTGGCAGCCATTTGAAGTCTGCTCAGGCTAGGATTTCTGACCAGTGGACTAAGGTGGCCCATTGTACCTGGGATTAATTGATTAGACTTTGCAGTTACTTCTTTTTGGGATTTTAAATATTTAATGTACAATGCTATTGTATTGTTCATGGTAGATAGCATCTTATTGCTCTGTTTTATTGTTGCGTATTTATTTTGGAAATGTATTTGGAAATGTGTATCTGTTTTTATTGTTGGAAATGTATACTGCCCAGAGATCCCTGTGGGCTATGGGAGTAGGCTAGAATAATATTAATATGGAGGAGGCTGTCATCCACCCCACGACACACACGCACACGCACACGTGTGCACACGCGCGCGCACACACACACACACACACGCACACACTGTACTGCTTGACTCAGTAGAATCAGTGCTCTGAAGTACTCTGGCCTTCTCCAACAAGAACAAGCTTGGTTCAGCAATATCCAACCATTCTATACTTTTCCTGTTCACTAAGTTGGAAACAATACAGGCATTGATGTACTTGTAACTACCTTTGATAATGAGAAGAATTTCTTAGCTCCGTGTATTTTCTGATTAATGGACTGTGCTAAAGTGTAAAGGTTCTTCGTTTCTATTCTTTAATAGCACAGTATGCTAAAGGGGAAAAATAGAAAGTCTTTTCGTCTGGAACAAATAAGAAGAAGTGAAGGAGGCAGGAGAAACAAATGATTTAAACACACTCCCAATGTAACTGTGTTTTTAGTTAACAAAATGTTGGTGTAACAGCTCGTAGCAGTTTGGAGAGTTTCTTTTTTCCTTTTGGAGAATACCACCTCAGTGCAAACCTTACATTTTATTTAAACTTACCCATCCTTGCCATAAAATGCCATCCGTTTTAATTTGAGGTATACAATTAATCACACATCTAAAACGAAATAGTCCTTCCTTCAAAACAATGTTATTCTCAAAGCATGCAACCTGTGACTGCTCAGGATGGGACACTACATGTCCCATGCTAAGGAAGTGTCAGTGAACTATTTTACTTAGGAAAAGAGCCCAAATTTGTTTTTAAAACATTTCCAACATGTGGCAAAAATGGAATGGGTGGTTGGGGAAAGTAAAAAAAAAAATTGCTAGACCTTATCCATAGAACAGAAGGGAATTAAAACAAAATCCTGTGACTTTTATAAAAATAGGTCAAGGAATAGAAAGTTGATAGTGGCCTGTTCGCACAGAATACCATGCTAGCAGAAACTAGGTTCCAAACTTTGCACAAGAATCCAAATGAAGTTACATTTGCACAACCCCTTCGCACAACCCCTCGCACCACTGCATATTATCCCTGTGCAAACTGCTAAACAATCAGTTGTGCAGCTGGTAATGCATTACACTTGTCAGTTGTGCAACCCATGGACCAACTAGCTACATGTTACACTTGTACAACCCATGCAAGCATAATGCACAACTGTTTGTGCAATGGAAATATCCAGCAGAGAGCCACTACCACTATTTGAATTTGTAGAATGACACCATTAGATACTACCTCATGTTTCTAAGCTCCTTAGGAAACTTCTGGATGGAACTTTTATAGTACTTTTGCCCGTCTTAGTCACCAAATTTTATAGGATATCCATACACCATCTCCTACGCATTAGTCTCCTGTGTTTTCTCAGCACTTTTTTCTTACTGCAGAAAATCTGTTCAGGAGAAAAAGATGGAATAGCAGCACAGTGCTTTTTAAGTCATAGAGCTAGGAGACCTACTCTCTGGAAGCCCCACCTAATGACAAGATTAGTACAGCGTTCCTGCAAAAGCGCAACCCTGTAGTTAACAATCTACAGCTCCAGGATTATTGGACATTTCCACCAAAGCCTTGCCTGTTCCAACAGCTCTTCTTAGATTGGAAAGCTTAGCCATAAGTGTCTTGTTCCCGCACCAACATCTGCGATCTGGGTTGCCAGGTTTTTACTGGCTTTGATTCACAGCCATTAGCAGAAGCCTCACCGCTAGAAACTGTTTTTGGCATGTGTATAAGCAACAGAATTTTTAGCAGTTTAATTTCTGGCTACTGTTAAATGGTCAGAGGAGTACGATTCGAGGTTTTTATCTCAGCTCTTGGTAAAGCATAGCCACCAAGTTGGGGTGAAAGCCAAATTTTAGTTAATTTTGACCCATACAAATTAACTTTCTGGTTATTTAATGATGTTCTGCACTGCTGTAGCAAATGAGATATACTTGGAATTACAAATTGGTGAATAAAGTGTGCATATGGGTGTGGGTTTATGTATAAAACCTACTTGAATGTCTAATTGTGATGCCCCATTAAAATAAAAGTCAGTAAGAAATAAATATGTTTCCCCCTGCACAAGTTCAAATCAAATGGAAGTGTTTCTTTCATTTGTTCATTCGTGTTCGACAAAATACTTCAAGATGTCCTAAAGGCGAGTTGTTTGTCACTATCTATCTTCTACAACTATTTTGTACAATCCAGACATCGTGTTATTGGCGTTGTACTCAACAGAAGCCAGCTTCAGTTCAGAACAGCAGACAACTACCAAAAGAAACAGTCCACGTGTATTGCTGTGCTTTGACTCCAACCCAGTGTTTATATGTTTCAGTAGATATATTTGCACCACACTGCAAGTCTTCACATTTTATTGTCACTAATTCTGTGACAAACTCTTACACCCCACCCACTACAATGGCACTGTCACTTACAGCAGGAGTTATACACACAGAATGAGGACATACCCTTAGTGTAGAAAACAGTATAAAAAAGAAACCAAGAGAATCGCATGTCATATACCCTGATGTGAGTGGAAATTCCATTGGATCAAGTAGAGCACAATAACTTAGTTGTATATATCTATACGTTAAAAGTAGGAAATATCCATTATAGAAATAGCCAATTTTCTGACTGTATACTGAAAAATTACGGGATTTAAAGGTACAAGACTGGAAGGCGATAGTGCAGATATGTCCCCCAGCTTCTAGGTCAGTGCACAACTGAAATCATAGTCACAGAACAGTAGAGTTGGAAGGGGCCATGAAGGCCATCAGGTCCAACCCCCTGCTGTTGCAGGACACCAAGACTATTCTTTTGTCTCCAGTCCCATGCAATTCAAGCTTACACCAAGAACTGACCACAGCCACACAATTGCACAACCTATGCTAGTCTGCTTTTGTGGGCAGATATTTGTTATTTGTCCTTAGGCACATAGATGCATGGGACATATGCTTTTTGAAGCATATGATGAAGGCATATCTCCAAGGATATTATGGGATTCTGACTAATGCACTTTTGTTCATTTTATAATCAGGAAATGTAAAAAAATAAAAAAGAGGATGAGAGAGAGAGAGAGATTGTTGTCCTTACTGTGGAAATTTCTTATACTGCTTGATGTAACTGTTAAAATGCCAACCAGTCATACAGGTCAAGAATTTAAAAAATCATTGTACAGTCTTCTGTTATTTTCTTAAAATGCCAAATAATCTCAGAGCAATTTACATAAAATGACCTTAAAACTATTTTCAAATACGTCAAATCACATATTTTCATAAAACATTGGAAGTGGGCAGGGCAGGGAATACAATTCAGCTTACATTTAGCAACTTTAAAACCCATTCATTTTAATAGAAGATTTAAGCATATACTTCACTTTCTCCCACTGAGGTCAATGGGACATACTAGGATTTGTTGACCACCTAAAAACCTAAAATGTTATATGGAACAAACAGACTGACAACAGAACCCTGTACGTCTGTACTCAGTGGGTATTGCTCTCAAATAAGTGTGAGACTTCGTATCACAGCCGCAGCCATGCTTACCACAACCCTCATCATTACCGGCATAAGCAATTTGTGATGATTATTTTTAAAAAAACGAAAAACCCTAATTGAAAACCCAGTCCAAAGTAACTTAAATACAAAGGGAAAGGGCAAGAGCTTCTGCCTTTTCTTAGTACATAAAATGTTACTTTCCTAAATGCAGTAATTTAAAATTCCAGGTAGTACGAACAAAATAAACTCTGCTGGCTTATTTAAACTACAGCATGCACACAACACAGTTTCCATAATCATCGCCTGTTGTGTCACCTGAACTTGGGCAATATGGCTGTTGGGAGAAGGAAGCAGCCTCCAATAATCCTAGAACAGCTGACAGGCTATTGCGGGTTGCTGCCCTACCATGCCACCTGGGTTTGGATAATTTAGGAAGTTGTGTCTAGACAGTGATTATGGAAATTATGCCCTGCATATGCCATGGTTTAAATAAGCCATGGTGGTTAAACCACGCTGGCTTATTTTGATAGTCTGAAACAGGTCAGTTTGTTTTTAGTGCCTACACATTACTTTTGTATGTGTTAGTATACAAGTCAGTTTACATGCGACTTCATTTGCTTTCCTTTCCTCAACAAAAAAGTAATAACAGTTGAAATGACATCCAAAAGCAAGGATCCGGGATGCTACTGAAGCCAACAGAAAAACTCCAGCAGACTTTGTAAGCTGGGCTTCAGTTCTTCTCAGAGGGTGAACTAACAATGAGTCCCAACAGAGGCAAATGTGGACATTTCACGACGTATAGTACTGAATGGGGAGAGTTCTAGCTCTGTTGTATATTCATTGTCATTATCGTCACTTGTTACCGTCGAGGACTTCTGAATGCACTCATCACAGCAGCAGCAGCAGCATTCCAAAAAGGCTCGACTGAATGGTTTGCACAGACAGAAAAGGAGAACTGGAGTCACACACGATTTAAAGAATAAGAGAAACTGGCTGATGAGGTGCAACAGGTCCATAGTCTGAGGAGACACCCCTGTGGACATGTAGGCAGTAACGATATTGCAGATGTTCTCGGGAATGATGCAGAAACCATACAAAATGGTCAAAGCCACCACTGTGCAGTTCATCTGGCTTTCCAGCTGAATCTGTCGCTTGTTTCCTCTCGTACAAGCTTTCTCCACCTTTCGGATTTTCCGTGCAGTCACCAACGAGCAAGTAATGGTAAAAAGGGTGGGCAAGCAGAAGTAGCAGCCGAAGTACCACCACAGCCTTGCGCCGTCGTACGTGAGCGCCAGCACATAGATAGTATCAGGCAGGTGAGGTGAGATCCTGACCACACATCGTTCCATGGGAGGGCTCCCACTGCTCTCTGAGTCTTCTTTCGTCAACTGGCGAAGAACCACCTCGGGGAGTGCCAGCAGGAGAGCCCCAACCCAAATCACAGCCAGCTTGGCAGTGGTTGAGGTACAGTTTTCAATCATCTCGTAATACATCTGCACATTCGTGGCAGCACGGAAGCGGTCTATGCAGAGGGCACATAATGTAAAGGTGGTTACTCCAAGAGAGGCTACCTGGATAGGAAGGAGAAAGTGTACTGTAAATATCAAATCATTTTGAACACATGTAACTATGAATGAGCTCTGAAACATATGTTAGATACAAAGGTAGGACATGTCTCACACTAGATCTCCAGACAGCTTTCCACTTAAAGCACAACACACCAGCTATTCATTTATTATAAAACTATATATAAAACTTCAACCTGTCTTTCAAGTTCTCCCATGTAAATGATTTCTGATAATCTCAATTTATTATTCTTATTCTTAAATTAGATTGAAAACCTGGATTTATTTCTCTTCTTGAGGCTCTTCACTGGTATCAAAAGGACATAACAGTGCCAGACAAGTCCACCTGGGGACCGTAGTTTCATAGCTGGGATGCATACACAGCACTGAAAATGACTTTTTCCTGGTTAGCGATCCCTGCAACTCAGGAAGGAGCAGGCATCTTAACATGGATATGGGTGGCAGACACATGGTCCTAAACAAGATGTTAAAAATCCAGTTAAGATGGATCCCTCAAAAGTAAACTAACTTTGCAGTCATGTTGTCAGCAAGGCTCATCCCTCGATCCAGAGGCTTCTTCCACCAGCAGACCAGTGATTGGGAGATGGGACATACATTGCTGTCCTTGCAAAATTTCTAACTGCACGTTGGTGGTGTCACAGTTTTGTTACACAGTCAGTATTGGATTATATCCTAAGTGTATGGCACAGTGTACTGGGCTGGGACTTGGGAGTATCAGGTCGTAGTTGGTCATGTAGTACACTAGGCGACTTTGGCCAGTCACTGACTGTTAGCCTAACCTACCTTATAGGGTTGTTCTGAGGACAGAAGAGAGAGGAGAAGGGCTATGTAGGCTGCCTGGGATGCTTGGCAGGAAAAAAAAGATGAGATGGAAATATAATAAATAGCTAAAATAACCCAAATGATTAGGATCAGGCCGTGTGTTGTGTAAGTTTTCAACTGCACTGACATGCAGCTCCCACACAAATGGGAAGTGACTAAGGACACCTTTGACTGGGCTACGCCTGAAGTACTGTGCGGATGCAGAACCCAAGGCCTAGGAGCCATATCCCTGGAGATCTATCACTTTACTCCCAAGCACTGGTTGTTGGGTAGTTTCTCACCTTTTGTGCAGTTTCCCTCCATGTTCTAGAAAACTAAAATGCTTCTTGGAAGTCATACTTACCAACAGTAAGAACTTTAAACTACAATATACTCATGTATTGGCTCTGCCCCTTTTGCCTTTGGCCTGAAATGTTCCCCACAGAAGATTCTCCAACATGGAATTTGGCTCCTTGGCTGAAAGAGGTTTTCACCCCAGGTGTACTACAAACTAGGACCAAAATACTGCTGGTACTGTTGCCTTGTCAAATTTAAGCAGAAATCTTGTCATTCTCCAATATGTAAACTCAGAAGGGAGCTTAATACCAAGTTCAGAACATGCAGAACTAATTCTGTAGCACTGAGATAAGAAATGTAGCTTTTTAAATGCCAAATATTGTTTACTTTCATGCCTAAAACAAATCCCTTTCTGTTTTAAAATCTCTCAGTCTGAAGTTCAGCCAGATACAAATTTTTGTGGATCATTTCATAGCCTGTCTCAACGTTACTTGTACCCACTTGCATGCATCTTTAACATGTCAAGAGGCAACTGGGAAATGAAAAATGAAAGGCAGAGGCTTTTCTAAGAACAGAACGATCAAAAGGAAGTCTGATGAAGCAAGGATTTAAATGGAACCTGTATACTTGCCAAGAAACAAAGATTTAAATGGAACCTGGAGCTTCTTAAGAAGAGAAAATGTGCAATTTGGAATCAGCAAATAGCCTACTGAACTTTCAGACTTGTATTCTGCCTGTTTCTTGCATCAACTTCACTTGGAGTCATGTCAACAAATCTTTCTGGAAAACTGTGATTCAGCACCACTCACACTACAAAGATACCACAAGAAAAGAGCCACAGAGTTTAAACATAGATCGAGGGAGCTCCATTCATGACGAATATAAGATAATAAGAACCTGCCTTAGTATCAAAAATCATCATGCCCCTATAATTATTATTACTTTCTAGTGAAATGCCAATTTTTATAATAGGCCTGGTAGATAAATGTGTGTGTGATGGGCAAGTTTGCTTAGTGAAGATTTCTTCTGTGAGATCTTTCTTCTGAAGCAGCCACAAGTTCATTTTTCTAGGCAACCTTGAGGTCTATACAAGCAGGAGAAAAATGTTCTATTCATACTGCTCATAATTGACTAAACTTCTAATATTTAGATAGCAGTCTGCCTTCAAAAGCCATTGCTAACTGCTTCAATTTTTTCCATAGAGAAGGTGTTACAGTCCTTGGTCTAGGCAGTTTTACTTTTCTGTAATTCTTCTGTTCTCTAGTGCCCTCTTCTACCTGGGGCTATGTCTTTTAAATAATTAAATCTTTATTGAATACCTTTTCCCCATTTCAAACAACAAACTAACCAACCAAGGAGATGGAGATGGGAAAAAGCAAGCTGGCATGAGAAATACTCTCTTCAGGGGATGGGAGAAGTGAAGGCGTTACAGTTGCCAACAGAGAAAAAATGTCAAAACAAGTCCTTAGAACCGTCTGAAGATGAATCTTGCAGAAAAACAAAATGCTGACAGAATGCCAAAGAAGACAAGACTTGCAGCATGTTACCCATCGCTGCATGATTGTATGTGATAACCATGCCCAAGATCGACTTCTTCATGCGTTTATTAAAGTTACGTCCTGTGTTTCCTCCAAAAAGCTCAAGGCAAGAGACATCGTTTTTGCCTCTCCAAAAGTATATGAGGTACATTCTCTTTTCAGCATCAGAAGGAGACTTATCATTCTCTTGGGCATTTTAAGTACTGTTTTAGTCACTTTAGATCTGTGCACTGTTTCATTTTAGGGCTGTTTTTACCTTGATGTATTGCACCGCTTTTGCCCTTTGCTGTTGACTTTACGTTGGTTTTCTTACATGCTGGTTTTGTCACTGTTTGTTGTTTGCATTTTTTAAATTTACTGGTACCGAGTACAGGAAACTGCAAGTATGGGTACAGGAAACTTCAGTTGTATTTATTTCCTAGCAATAAGGAAGTAAATATAATAATATAATCTGAGAACATGAAAATGGCCTGAGACTATCCAATCAATGCTATGTCAGAGTAGATCTATGACTCTCAATTGGTCTAGTCTCAATATGATACTCAGCCTTTCCCATGCTTGCTGTGTATAATGGAAATTGCAGTTCGACACATCTGGAAGGTACCAAGTTGGTGGAGGCTTGTCTAAATACCACTGGCACTCTTGCTTTTATGAAGACTCACAAATCCTGGGTGAACCACAGCCGTTCTGTCTGCATATACATGTTTGCACTGCTGTTCGTTGCTACACATGGTAGGTCAGAAATAAGCTCCCACTGGTTTTGGCAGATTTATTTCCAGTGTGATGTGCAATCTTGCACTGAAGGCTTGCACATCCAAGGATGTTCATGCAAGGACTATTGAACACCATGAGTCTTTTATGCAAGAGTGGCCCAAGAAATGCTAGCAGTGTGAGTTTTTCCAGAAATGCAAGCAGACACAGACAAGTTTGATCAGAAGAGAAGTCATCAAAACAGGGCCCTTTTCATCTATTCCATGGCGTCTCTCTCTCTGTCATGCAGGATATGATCATTTCCTCTCTAAATAGCAGAGGAAGCAGAAAACCCTGGGAATTTTCTAATACAATTTCACTGAAAATTATCCTTTCTTGTAAACCAAACCAAAGAATATATTCTGTATATAATGAGTGTATGAATACAGAGGTATATCACTCTGTTTTCAATACCCCTATGGAAGCATCTAAGGGAGCAAGCATTTCAGGGACCATACAATTCCTTCCAAAAGTATAGGTTGGAGATCTGATCGTTACTGGTTTTTCGGCGCCAGGTAAAGACCTTTTTATTTAAACATCATTTTAATTGTTAAAACACATGATCTGGCCAGGGCAACTTCTTCTTCCTTCTCTTTTCTCCTCCTATATTTTTATTCACTTATTTTATACTGATAATTTTAATTTTATATTTGTAACTCAGTGTATTTTTTGTATTTTTGTATTTAATGGTAATTTATTATGTTCTATTGTATTTCAATGTATTTTATTGTGTTGTAAGCCGCCCCGAGGTTTCGGCAAGGGGCGGCATAGAACT